GTTTTTCTTCGTTACGATTTAGTTTAGAATATATTTTCACACGAGATTTTAGAGCATCTACGTTATCTGCTTCAAGTTCCAACGATCTATTCAAATCTGCGAGAGAATCATTATAGCGATTTAACATATAATATGTTTCTCCTCGAGACCTTAATGCAAATGGATTATCGGGCTCTATTCTTAATGATACATTTAAATCTGTGAGTGATTCATTGTATTTTTTTAAATTATAATAGGTTTTTCCTCGTGCTCTTAGAGCCTTTGCATCATTTTTATTAATTCTTAATGCTTCATTTAAGTCTCTAAGAGATTTATCATATTTTTTGCACATGTAATATGCCTGTCCTCTGGTTCTTAGAACATCGCCATTTCTTGGTTCAAATTTTAATGATTTTTTTAAAATTTTATGAGACTCTTGATATTTTCCAAGCTTATAATATGATCTTCCTAGAAGTTCTAATGCGACTGCATTGTTAGAATCAATTTCTAGTAACTTTATCAAAATTTCCGAAGATTCTTTGTAGTTTTTTAACTTAAAATAAGATTGGGCTAGAACTCTTAATATAATAACATTTCTAGGATCAAACTTCAGCGATTTAGTTAAATATATAAGAGATTCATCGTAGCGTTCCAATATATGGCATATTTGCCCTTGCAATCTTACTGCATCCGCATTATCTGGCCCAATTTCTAGAGACTTCCTTAAATCTATAAGAGATTCCTCATAGAGGTTCAACATATAGTATGTTTTTCCTCGGGATCTTAGTGCAAATGCGTTATCTTTCTCAAATTCTAATGAAGCCGTTAAATCTTCAAGTGATTTATTATATTTTTCTAAAAGGTAATAGGTCACTCCTCGGGCTCTTAGAGCTTCTGCATCATTTGGACTAATGTTTAATGCTTTATCTAAATCTTCAAGGGAACTTTTAAAATTCCCAACCATATAATAAGCTTGTCCTCGGGTTCTTAATGCAACAACGTTTTCTTGATCAATATTCAATGTTTCTGTTAATTTTTCAAGAGATTCATTATATTTTCCTAGCTTATAATAGGATCTTCCTAGAAGCTCTAATGCGATCGCGTTTTTGGAATCAATTTTTAATAATTTGGTCAAAGTTACTGAAGACTCTTTATAGTTATTTAACTTAAAATAAGATTGGGCTAGAAATTTTAATGTAATAACATTTTTAGGCTCAAAATCCAGTGACCTAATTAAATCTGTAATAGATTCATCATAACGTTCTAATATATGGTACGTTTGTCCCCGAAAACTTAGTAAAATTGCATTATCTGGATCAATTTCTAAAGATCTAGATAAATCTGTAAGTGACTCTTCGTAGCGTCTTTTTTTGCAATATATTTGTCCTCGAAGTCCTAATGCAATTGCATTATTCGGATCGATTTTAATTAATTTATCAAAATCCATAAGGGATTCTTCATAGCAATTTAAAGCGTAATATGCTTGACCGCGAGATGCTATTGCAATTACATTATCTGGCTCGTATTCCATAGATTTATTTAAATCACTAAGGGAGTCGTTATAACGGCTTAACTTATAATATATCAGTCCTCGAGTCCTTAGTGCCAATGGATTGTTTGGTTCCATTTTTAATGATATACGCAAATCTTCAAGTGACTTGATAAATTTCCCCAAGCTATAATAAGTTTGTCCTCGAGATCTTAGAGATTCTGCATCATTTGGGTTAATTTTTAGTGCGTTATTTAAATCTTTAAGAGAACTATTATAGTCGCTAATCATGTAATATGCTTGTCCTCGGGTTCTTAATGCATCAATATTTAATTCAATGTTTAATGATTTTGTTAAATAATTAAGAGACTCTTTATAATTTTTCAGCTTATAATGAGATCTTCCTAAAAATCTTAAAGTGATCGCATTTTTAGGATCAATATTTAATGAATCCGTTAAATTTTTCAAAGAATCTTGGTATTTCCCTAACTCAAAATAAGATTGACCTAGAAATCTTAGCGTAACAGAATCTTTTGAATCAAATTCTAATGAATTAGCTAAATCTTTACAAGAAGCTTCGTAACGTTTTAACATGTAATATGTTTGCCCTCGAAATCTGAGCGCAGTCGCATTATCTGGATCAATTTCTAAAGACATAGTTAAATTTGAGAGAGAATCCGTAAAATTGTCTTGTACATAGTATATTTTTCCTCGAGATCTTAGAGAAAAAGCATTTTTTGGTTCAAGCTCCAGTGATTTATTAAAATCCGCAAGTGACTCTTGGTATTTTGTTAGCTTGAAATAAATTGCACCTCGAAACCTCAATGCATCAGCATCATCTGGATTAGCCTTTAAAGACTCGTTTAAGTAATCAAGAGATTCGTTATAGTTTCCTGACACATAGTAAATTTGTCCTTGAGACCTCAATTTATCTGCATTGTCGAGCTTTTGCCGAAAGAAATACCCTATTAAGTTAGTAAAGGAACCCTTGGAATGATTCAGACTAGGTCGAGACAGTTCTCTTGTTCTTTGATCATTTGACATACTTGATGTATTAGTCAAAGAATCCCCTGAAGTTCTCAGACTAGAATGAGATGGTCTTCTGGATCTCTGTGCAGATGTCGCTCTTAATAAATTTTTTGATAAATCATCATTATGCATATTTTTATAAAATTGAGAATGTTCGCTTATTGTTTCATCTAATATAGGTATAAGTTCTATATTACAATTTGTAATAAATTGAGGTGATTCTTTTTTCGATATCAAATTAAGTTTATCAAGAATTTTATTTATTGTTGGACGTTCTTTTGGTTCATTCCAACATTTTTTATAAAGGTTAGCATAATCTGTTGGAGTCCCTGGAATTGTTTGTTCTCGGTAACCTTGCAACGTTTGAATAAGTATAGCAAATTCATTAATAGCATTTTTGAATGGAGGAATTCCGCTCGTAAGTTCCCAAAATATTACACCTAGGCTATAAACGTCCGACTTTTCATCCGGTTTTTTCCCAGGTTGACAATTATAGTGTGGATCAAGATACGCTGGCATGCCTTTTAAAATTGTAGCTGAGGAGCCATAAGTATCATCTATATTTCTTGATAATCCAAAATCCGCAATCAAGAATTTATCACCATCTATCAAGATATTTTTAGAATGCTTTAAAATTGGTAATTATTAATTTATAGGCTTCAAGAAATTATTAATTGGAAAATTAGAACAATAAACACTTACCAAATCACAATGAATTACATTATTTTTGTGCAAGTGTCCCAATCCATCAGTAATTTGTGCCGCAATGTTGATGATTTCGCTTAACTTAATTTCAAATTTACCATTGTTCCATTTCTTC